CCTCTGTCCCGTCTTTTTTTAGGGTTAGGTTTTGGGTTTTAGGTTTTGGGTTTAGGCTTTAGGTTTTGGGTTTTAGGTTTTAGGTTAAGAGATGTTTTGGGTTTTGGGTTTTAGGTTTATAGGTTTTAGGTTTGGGTTTCAGGTCTTGGGTCTTCGTACGGCTTCAAAACCGCCCTCCCTGGAGTCTTTGCTGTTTGCTGCCTCTTTCGGGATTCGGTTTTCGGCTTTCGCTATTCGGTGCTCGGCCCGTCCTCGGGCTGATCTCCGCATCACGTCCCGCCCTCATGACTTGCCTAGCCAAACTTTGGTCACATTTGGATAGGAGTGGCGACGTGCACTTCACTTGCTGCAGACCATGATCCTTGAAGAGCTCCAGCCAGCCATTTGGATATCTGGAGTGTTGTCGTTGACAACCCTTTTATTGTAGTGTGCATGGGGCATGTCATAGGCTGCAGGGAGGTTGAATAGTTGGGCATGCCACTCCGTAGTTCCAATCTCTCAAGGACACCATCAGTTACAACAGCGTGATCAATGCTTGCGAAAAGGACAGTGCCAATTGTGTTATGAGGTGGTAGCTGGGTTTCAGTGCTGAAGATTTGTGTGAAGTGCAGGATGGCCAATGGCAGCAAGCTCTCCATTTGCTGTTTGCAATGAAGATCGTGCAATTGGAGCCCGATGTCATCAGTCCTTGAGCGATGATGAGGGAAGTCTAGGTCCACAGCACAAGGGGAGACAAGAAAGAGAGTGGTCACAGGATATGCGCAAGCCAATTGAGGCTTCAGCTCCTCTCTCAGCGCCTGTGCCAAAGAAAGTCGCTGGCTGACAGCTTTGCAACACCTCCAATGGATGCGATTGGCCCAGGCCAGAACGAAGCCACATTGGACAGCAAGAATCAAAGCTGATTGCAGAGACTGGTCTTGACGCGTCTTGACCTTGCAGGTGATCCCAAATGTGGTTACATTCACAGCTGCAATCACTGCATGTGAGGGCCACCTCCCAGATGTGTCGCTCGCCCTCTTTGATATGATGTTCCAAGTGCTCCCTGGCAAAATTAGCAAGTCTTGGAAACCCACTTCTTGCGAGCCTTTGTCGATGAGCCGAGTGCATTCCAGGCAAATTCAGCCAAATGAAATTGCTTATACTTCCGCAATCAGTGCATGTCGGGACCTTGGTTTTTCTTGAGTCAGAGTGCCGTTGCCAGTCATAGGTTTCCAAGAGCCCTGTGAGCCTTCTACAAGAACATTCGCTGCACGGTGTCGACCAACAACTCTGTCAGGTGCTGCAGATGATGACTGGTGGGCTGCTTGCTCCTTGTTAGAGGAAATGAACACTGTAGCTTTGGAGCCTGGCATCGTCAGCCGCCCAGCTCAAAAGAAGCTCAGAGGCGTAGGAGGTTCTGCCACACCACGGCAGCTTGGCTCCATCTGCTTGTCTCACAGACAGTGCTGGATGCAGTCACACGCCAAGGCTACGGCGCAGTTCTAAAGGCATTACCAGGAAGATGGCTCTGGGCGGCACAATTGCTCCGCAACGCCAAAGAGTTGACGATAAGGATGAATGAGGTGGCATGTGGCTGGGCACATATTTTCATTCAATTTTGAGCTGGAGACCGAGGTTGGATCCCTGAACGGCTTAATGTGGTGATGCTGCCGTGTTGGTTCTGTAATGCCAAGGTACCGCTGCCATCGCTGCCACCAAGAAGACCAAGAAGTGGAAAATGGTGCTGCAGACACTGCAAGATGTCATCGGCACGCACCTGGAAGCTTGCCAGAGCCGGGTGGAAAGTGGGACGGCGTTTGGCAGCGGTTTCGAATCCGGGCTTACAATTCTTTTGTGCTTGGCCCTTCAAAGTCGCATGCAGGTCCAAATCACATCTCAGTCGATACTTGAGCTGAAAGGCCACGCCAAAACAGGTTAAATTGTTAATTTATTGGCGAGTGCTGTGAGATAGGGCGTTTGAAATGGCTCCAGGCTGGCAAACATTGGCAGGGTTAGGTACCACTAAGGTATTTGAGCAGCTCAGTGACGGCAGTCTTCGACGCTCAACTGGTTCATTTGCAAGGGTTGCCCGCGGCTAGGGAGGGCCTTTGTTGGAGGCAACAATGAGGAAATATGCACTTCAAGGGCCCCTCCCTGTGCGCAAGGGCAGGCTTGCTGGAAGCTGTTGTGAAAATCAAACGCGCCACCAAGCAACAGACTTTGCGTGGACTCAGCTCAATTTCGCTTGGTTAGTTGAAAGTCCATGTTCAATTCTTGCATCCCACTCCTAACGCCCAGTGTGGCTTGGCTGTGTTGGCTTTTGTTCCCCCCTTCTCAGGTGTATGCACTATGCTTGTTGGAGTGAGGAGTTAGTGAAGCTATCGCAAAGGACTTCCACCCAAGTCAGGCAAGTTTCGTGGTGGGTGCCGAAATCTTTTTGCAATGCCCGTGCGCAGTAGGATTGCCTTGCATGATGGGCTTGCTTCTTGAATTCACTCACCCGACCTGACCTGCCTTGGCATCTCCAGCCGATTCTTCTTCTTCTTCTTCTCGAGCTGATGCACCAACTGTGGGCTGACTCCCCCACACTGATGCCCTCAGTTGGCACCCCAACTTGTTGCCATACCTGGTGGACAACCTAGCGAAGCCCTGTTGGCAACCCACTGCGTGACAGGCGGCTTCCCGCAAAATGACCCTTTGACACCCTCAGGCATGCCATATAGTGTAGTGTAGCTTTTGAACAGGTCACCCGAACGGGCAGTGCCTTTGCAGACCTTTTTGCTCGCAATATCTGCTACGCTACTCGTATCAGCAAGTCATCACAAACTTGGAGATCGGAGAGCCAACAGCCATCCCCGAGCTCCCTTTTGCGGGCAGCTTGCTGGATGAAAGAGCAATTGAGCAAAGTGCAAAAGGTCAGCGCGCCGCTATCAGCGCTCACGTTTTTATAAGAATTAATGATCATTGTCATTCTAATTGAAAAACGATACAATACAATACCAATCCCAACAATGATCCCCAGCATTGTGACTGAACACATTTTGGCATCATGTTGATTTTCTATTTGCAGCCTCTCCCATACCTAGAAACTGTGTATATGACAGCCGCCGTGTCTGACTGGGCCCCTTCTTGGATCTGGGGCGGGTGGAGAGGATTGGAGAAGAGACCATGAGGTAGAAATCGAGGGCTGTATATGAATATCAGGATGTGTCTGAAAAGATGGGGATCCCAGGTGTCGTGCCAAGATTGTGACACCCATGGTCTCGCTTGCTTGCACCTACTGTATTGGCTTGCCTTTGTGCTAGGCATGGTGCAGTAGCCAAACGGGAACGTCGGCGGGAGAAAGCACGTGGGTTTAAAGCGAGCGTCCACTCTCACCATTTGCAAGCTCACTGCAAATCTTGCACTCATGAAGTGCAAAAGATACAAGGTGACGGAGGTATTGCATCACTAGCATCATTACTACCCGAGAGTAGTACGCATGGCTAGTCCAAAGGCGCTGAGACGAGTCCTATGATTTTTTCTCGAGACCACTGCTTTCAGTTTCAATTACCTTGTTTTGACATTTCAACATGGCAGAAATATGGAGACGCCGCGGGTAATGAACCAATGATAAAAACCAAATGCCGGCAGCAGCGGGGACAGCAGTCCAAGTACGAAACCCAAAAGGAAGACCATGGGCTTGGGTAACCATATCCGCCACAGTAGTGAAGGTTGACCCACCAGGAAGAGTTTCAACAGTTTACTGAACACGGCTAAAAGAACTAGGTGCACACATGGACATATATAGAGTACCTCGTGCTAGCCACTTGCGGGGACTAGCGCGATGATTCGCCAAAGCCACTGCTTTCAGTTGCAATACCTTGTTTCGACACTTGGATCACCTACAATATACACATTCTGTTGTTGTGGCCGTTCGTCGCCCTGGTAACCCCTATTCTTGGGGCTATTCCCGAGGTGGGGCTCGTGGCCGATGGTAAAGGACAGCGGCCCAAATCCGGGTGCCGGCCTGGCCGTGCCCCAGCCAGAGGTAACTAACGAGCGCGCCCCCTTGACCTTTTCAGCCCGACCTCCGCCCGACGTCCGGTCCCCGTCCGGTCGACCTCCCCCTTGCAAATTTACGGTGTATTCTGCGTGTGCTGTTCACAAAGCACGGTGTTTTACAAGGTTTTGTGCGCGTGGAAGATGCAAAGTGTCGATGATGGAGAAATGCAAAAACTGTGGGTTTTACAAGGGTGGTGTCGGTAATGCGCGCCGCGCGGACGTGCATAATCTGAATTTTTTTGGTGATGGGCCCTTGTCAACATAAATGGCGCAAAATGTGCCCCAAGATGACCTAACAGAGGCCCCAAGATGACCCAACATAGGTCCAACATATGCCCACCATAGCCCCAAGATGGGCCAACATAGCCCCAAGATGGGCCAACATAGGCCCAAGACGGGCTCGACGTGGGCCCAAGATAGGCCAACATAGGCCCAAGATAGGCTCAAGATGGGCCAAAGATGGTCCAACATAGGCCCTAGTTGGGCCAATATGGGCCCAAGTGGGCCAACATAAGCCTTATATGGCCCAAAGTATACCCAACATGGGCCCAACATCGCCCCAATAGCGCCCTGCATAGCCCAAAGGCCTGGCCCCAACACCACAGCCACAACCAAAACCACTGGCCGCGCCCGGCTGTCAGGCGTAAGCCTTTAAATAGTCTTTCACTTTCTGGGAGGTCTTGGTCGGGGAGGCTGACCTTGCCGCTTTTTTCCGATGGGGGTATACCAGCCTTTGTTGTCGTGCGTGCTGTTGGTCTGCACCCATTACCGAAGGAAGCCGGCTTCATGTGTATAGTGCGGAGCACCTCCAAGGAAACCTCCTCACCTTTCCTGACCTACGCGTCTCCGTCACCTGCGTGTTCCTGGCTTTCGTTTCCCTCTCCCAGTTTGGCATCCCAAAAGCGATATTTACTTGGAATCTAGTCTACCTTAGAACTTGCACCCAGGGTGCCCGAGGGCCTTTGTGAATCATAGTGAAGGAATTGCCGAGCTGGCGTTTTCGTTTCGCCCTTTGCGATCCACCAACACCATGCGATTTTCCAGTTCCACAGCGCCCTGTCCCTGTGGGAGTTGATCAAAAACATCCGAAGACTTTTGTAGGGAGTGAATGGCCCTCCTTCCTGAAAAATCTGTACTTTTGCTTATCGCGAAATCTATTGAATTAATTCCAGCCAGCACATGCCGGTGAACATATGCAATAATCGCAATACGTTCCTTAGAGGCGTGCTTCGCGATGGGCCCCGAAGCGACAGATTCGTATTACCAGTCTTGGAGAAACGGATTTTCTTTGATCAGCCACCATTCATCATTGTTGACATTGACACGAATGTTAATCATTAACCCCCACCGCCGGAACTCCTATCATCATTGCAACATGAGTTGCCCCAAGCAGAAGTGTGCGCCCGACCACAAACCATGACAAGGGCGGCGTACGAGCGGCCTCTGCAATGAAGAAGGCCGACTCCAATGGGTCCGGTCGTTTTCTCATTTTGCCTGGTTTATTCGGCTCAAATGCCAAAGGCTGGCGGTGATTGGCAAAGTGGCCAGTACCTGTAGGTTGCACTTGCATTCAAGAGGTGCATGCATTCGGTGTCTACCTGTGAAGGTACCTGCGTATGAGTAAAAAATTTGATTCATGCAGCCGATTCGCAGTTCGTGGGGGACTGTGTTGCCCAGCAAAAAGAAGGTGCAATCATGAGCTACAGCTAGTGATGACAGTTACAATAAAGGTGCCCCGGAGTTGCTGAGTCTTTGTTTGTATTTGCATTCTAGGGCAGTTGATGGCGGCTGGGTTCTGAGGACATGGATTTGGCAAGCATGGCCATTACCTGCATCGAGGATCAATGGCAGCATGCTTTGAGATTTGTGGGCCCTCCAGATGCAGCTTCAAGTGTGGGGTGCAGGGGGGGGCGAATATGCCTGTAGAGAGGGCGGTTCAAACTGCTTTAAAGCGCTTTGGCTTTTTCAATTCCAGTCTGAGTATGTCTGAGTTTTACCTTGCAGCTGCAGCTAAGGTGAGGCACGACCTCGCAGTCTGGAAGTGGACACTTCGCGAGCATTTTTGATGCATCTTGCGGAGAGTTGTTTGGAGCTTGAATTTGGTCCTTGGGGCAGAGATGAAGAAGCCATGAGTTGAAGGGTGGGTTGGTTTCCCCAACAAGGACAAATGCGGTTTGGCTCCAGCGTGAGAATCTTTGTCACTCCTGCATGGGGATACTTCCCTCAAACTTAGGATCTCGTGGCTCAGAACGCAGTCCTCAGTGCATGCGACCAATGGTTCAAAAGCATACAGCTCTTCAATGATGCACTGTGAAGTCCCCAGTCCATTTTGCACAATTGACGCAACAGGTCTGCGCACATACCACCACATGCCAAGCAGTTTGATGTCACTCATGAAACGGACGCAAGAGGCCACTGGTACGATCATGTGTGACTCAGTAATTGACCTGTATCAATTCAACATGTTTTGCATTGCCAAAAGCATCTACACATATACATGACCCGTGGCCACTACACATGAAAGAGGCCAAACCGCCTTATATTTTCTCATAATAAGGTGTGTCCAACACTCACCGGAACGGTCGTTTATTGTTGCAGCTTTATAGAAGCGGCTGAGGCCAGCGCAGGGATTTGAGGTTGATTTGGTGTCCAGTGGGACTGTCTTGACTAGCTATGCACGAGGCAGGAACTTCGCTTTGCAACATAATTGAGAACAAGAAGCTACTAGGAGCAAAGGGCATCGCTACTAGGAGCAAGGACGCTACTAGGGGCTCCTGGCCTTACTGCTAGGAGCAAGAAGCTGCTGGGAACAAGAAACTACTAGGGGCTCCTGGCCTTACTACTAGGAGCAAGGACGCTACTAGGGGCTCCTGGCCTTACTACTAGGAGCAAGAAGCTGCTAGGAACAAGAAGCTACTAGGGGCTCCTGGCCTTAGTACTAGGAGCAAGAAGCTGCTAGGAACAAGAAGCTGCTAGCTACTAGGGGCTCCTGGCCTTACTACTAGGAGCAAGGACGCTACTAGGGGCTCCTGGCCTTACTACTAGGAACAAGAAGCTGCTAGGAGCAAGAAACAATTTCCAAGGTTGACGTTGCAAAGCGTTCCTTGACACTTCCTGCTGAACCCGGAGGCTGGAATTGGCAGCGTACGCTGCACTTGTTGGCATGGATGAGATCTAGGCTTGGCCTGTGTCATGTTCGTCACATGGGACAGACAAGGGTAGCAAACAACCATGTTGGAGCTGTTTGAGGATGTTCAGCACACAAACATCGGTGTAATGTAGCCCATTTAATTTGGAAGGATTTTGCTTAGGGTCTTCCTCGCACGTCAGGCTTCTCGACACAGAAGACTGTACCTACAATGCCGCAATTAGTGCATGTGAACATGCCCAGCAGGAAGTGAAATTAAAAGATCCTGCGCTTCTTTGGGTGGTAGGTGGGGTGCATTCATGTCGGAGTGTCTTGAAGCAGCAAGGCCCTGAAAGATGGGCAACGTGCCATGTGGTGTACTTGTATCCACCGAATCTGTATGTATATAAATGATCGTCGCCCGTCGTAGTGCGACCGCGAGTGCATTGAAGAACTTCCTTTGAGAGATGAGGAGTCGTGCTTGCTTCACATCTCTTCCGCCATTTTGCAAGTGCCTCAAGCAAACAGCGTGTCTGCAACCAGCACTCTTGCGCTTCATCGCTCAGCTCCGTCATTGCCATGGCTCCCATTGATGCATCCTCCATGGATGAGGTCATGCAAATGCAGCTGAACAATCGTTCCTTGACCGCTGTATAACAATATACATGTATGTATATATATATATATTCAATTCCAACTGGTTAAACCTCCATCCATCCCAACTTTGCCTAGAATAATTCCATTGAAAGAGTTTCCATGCGTTTCGTTGTCTTGGACACCATCAGCCGCTTGTCCTTTGAGGAGACTGGCCGGTCCTTTGCGCTGAAGCTGAGTGGGAAATGGTCGATGAAAATCAGGCAATGGCACTGGTTGCTTTCCCGGAAGAGAACTCAGGGCCCACCCCGATCTCATGGGCGGCACGATTGCTTGGTGCTCCAAAGAAGTCACAAGTCTCAGCCATCGAGGGCAAGGTGCAAGCCACCAAGGAGAAAGCTGTCAAGAGCCAAGTTCAGGTGGAAGAGCAAGAGCTCCCGGATCCCAAAGAATTGGCACGTGAAGCACGCTCCAAACATGTGACAACGGGTGGTGGGCAGACGCTGCGCTCCAATACTCAATGCGAGTGGAAGACAGTGGTAGCCGAAGAGGATGATGACGTCTCACATTTGCAGATGCTGCGCAAAGCCCCAGTTCGCGAAAGAGGGAGTGGCAAATGCCAAGTAAAAGGCAAAGCCAGCAAAGCCATGAAGAGCACGAAGAGTGCAGACCAAGACCGGGACGGCAAGAAGGTTCAGGAACACCCACAGAGCAAGAAGCAGACAAGCCGCATCGACATTCGTGAAGGTCTCAACATCATGGGATTCGCCTGAACGCCACAGGCGTTGCTCAGATGTGCGTAGCGGCTACGCGGTACTTGAGCAAAGCTATATTTGTATTTCAAATCCTATTCTAAATAAAAAATGCATCCAATTTGCAGGTGCAGCGGGGTCACAGCAATGGAACACATGCAATGTCGCTATTCCAGGGCAGTGGCGCTGGCTGCAGCAGTTGTACAAAAGCGGGTGTAGTGCAATGGCCGGGTAGAGGTACATTCAAATTCTGTCTATGATAGGATAGGGATAGGAATCAAGCATCTGGCCTGCGATTCAATGTACAATCAAAATGTAGTTAATCCGCTGGAACAACTGGACTGCCAACATGCTTTGCACAACAGAATGGGCTTGAACTTGGATATCTCTTTGTTCTACACTACACCGCTGGAACAGGTAGAACTCCAATCTTTGCAGCACGTGGCCACCTGGTGTTAAAGCATGGTAACACTACAAACCAATCTGGCTAGTGCAGCTCTGGCAGCTGCGGACGGTGAAGACATCGAACAAATCAGTGAGACTACTCTCGGCCTTCGCATCACCCATTCGGCCTCGCGAGTGTTGCCCAGATCTTGCCGGCTCAAGCCATTTGCGCCTGGCCGCTGGTGATCTTGCGAGCCGAATCTCTGGAAAGCTGTCGGTGGTGCTTTGCGCCCTTTATTGACCCTTAGTGTTAAACAAAGGATATGCAAATGAACATGTGGCGCAAGTAGCGATCAGTCAAATCTGTGGTTTGATTTCGTCTATGTCTATGCTGATTGTTGGAGCTTGTTTGTTCTTAGCAATGTGCACAGTGCACGGCAGCTTTCACGAGATAATTGCACGATACCGTACAGGCTTTTGAAGACCTCAACCTCGCCCGGATTTTTTCTTCTCTTCCTCGCTGTTCCATTTTTTTGATAGACCAAGTCGGGCAGGTGTTTGGTCAACTAAGCAACTGGGATCAATCTCTTGGGGCACATTCCCAGATCTTTCTGTTGTCTCAGCAGCAGGCTTCGTGTTCAACCATTGCATGTCCAACCGTACACTCATGTGACCAATTGAAGACTTAATTCAGCCATTCGCACTTTCCAGCTGTTTCTTTGCCTTCCGCTGCAGCACGAGTGCCTTGCACGTGTGTCTTCCTGTGACAGCAATGTAGCTCTGGTTTCTTCGCAAAACTCGCACAGTTTTCGTCAATTGACACGAGAAAAGAACATCTGAGCGCCTTGGTCGAAACCAATGTATACAGAAATGGGCTTTGATTTGTATCGGTCGTGCTTCGAAGGTACTATACTACTACTGTATATCGAAAGAGATGTGCATCACCTCTCGTCTCAGCCCTATGTAACCAGGGCTGTCTCGCCGATCTGGCTGTTTCATCAAGCAACATATCCCAAACAGCATCCCAAACATCCAACAATAATATATACTAGCCATCCTACGCCCAGAAAGCTGACTGGTTTGCCTTTCATTGCTATCGTTGGCAATTCCCTTGATTTATTCCTTTGATTCCTGCCATGGTGTGCCCAACTCATGGAGAGGTCCGAGGCTGCGGAAGTTGACTCAGCACTTGTGGCTGAGGGGGCTTTTGGTGTGAGGGTGACTCTTTTGTATATTGCTTCTTCCGTTCGCCACTCTGAGCAGGCATGGCTTGTGCCAGAAGTGGATTTGCTGTTGTCCGGAAATCCTGGCAACGAAGATGCAGCACTCCTGGCTGCAAAAAATGCAAGTATCATCACGAAACACGTATGCATTTTCGTTGCTATTGAGATTGCTTTTTTCTTAATCCGCTGGGCCAGGTATACCAGCTCCTTTCCGAGGGCAATACGCTCACACGGTGGGCACGGCGGCCAGCCGAAGCCACTTGTGTGCTAAACGGCTTGGCCAAGTTAAGGTGGGAAGAAACATCCAGGAATGGATGGGACAGTGACTGAGTTGGTCACACACACAGAGAGCACATATACTGTACCTCTATTTGGACGTTTCCTGTTTTCAACGAGCACATGTCCGCTCGGAGTTGTCCAAAGTGGTTGGGGTGGATAGACTGAGCCCTGCCATGCGCATCGATCGCAGGCGTACCATCTTGGCACTTCAAGTCCTGAAGGTCATGCAGATCCTTAGCTTACAACCATCCCATATGCTCCACTATGATTATGATGCAAAATCAGGGTTGGGCGGACAGAGTTCGTTTTGTTCAACACATCATGGCTCGAAAGAACAAACCTGCCAACGTGCCTGGTTTTGTGGGAGCTGGTTTGTCATTTTTCTTCCAAAACCTAGGCGTGCCGGTGTGGAGGTGAATGTTTTCCACTACTCTTCTGCCGCATCAGCATGCGAAAAGACACTTTGGCTGGAAAGGGTCAAGCAATTTTCCGAGTTCTTCAGTCTTGAGTGAGTGCGCCGTCGCTAATAGCGTGGAGGCGTAGGGTTGAGGCCATCGCTATTGGGGTGGAGGCCATCGCTACTAGAA